GTTTCATGAACGATTGCCCACGCTTGGACAAGTTTAAGGGCAACATCCTTTCAGCTCAATGGTTGAGCGTTGGCTTTGAGAGCCACATGTCGGTGGTTCGAACCCACCAGGGCACTGTCCTTTCGTTCCATGAACTGTTGTCCTAGAATGGACAAGCTTAAGGGTAACACCCTTTTAGCTCAGTGGCCGAGCGTTGGCGTCGGAACCCACAGGTAGGCTGTTCGATTCCACCCGGGCGCAGCCCTCTCATACCATGCGTAGTCCATACTCGGACAAACATACGGGCGTCATAGCTCAATGGTGGATCTAAATCCAAAGGCCAGTGGTTGGATCCCCGTCCGGAACACACCACTTTCGCTGCTACAGCGCATTCACATTTGGATCATGCTCATCGAGCAAGTTGTTTCAAAACAACTATGCGTCTATCAGGACGCTTTAATAAAACTTGGTCACCGACCTCAAACCTCTCAATCTTGCTTCTGCCCTTGGCATCTGCATGGTCCTTCTGCGTGTCCTGACTTTCTGCCATGGTATCGCGTATTCGACGCATTACGCTCAGTTTCAAGTGGCCAAAGTCATCGACGTGCTTGCGAGCCGCAACAGGGCTGACCTCAGCTAGTCGATCGGCTATCCCTTCCCCATCAAGCCCTTAGCCACTGCGTGACGGCGTCATTGGGACGCGAGGGTTCACCAAGCCGCTCACATAGAACGGAATGTAGCCTGTCGACACGTGCACTGCATTATTTAATGCGAAATCAACGAGAGGGAGCATCTGGATCCAGCGTTTTGGCGCCCCAGCGCAAACACTTCGGAGGATATCCTCCACAACACGATTCACGCGTTAGGTTGCGGATGGCCCGCTTTGGATATGTCCAAACGAGTTCCGAGCACTCTAAATAGGGACGTCCAGAACTTCGCGGTCACGCGCGGGTCTCGATCCGAAACAATTGCCTCGGACAAGCCATGTTGGCGAAATACTCGGTCTAAAAACAGCAAAGCTGTACCTTCACCATCTATAGTGTCCGGCACCACCGCTAAATGCGCCATCTTGCTCAATCGGTCTACAAAGACCACAATACCCGTGATTCCCGCCTTAATCTTGGGAAGGCAAACACAAAGTCCATACTCATGGACTGCCACCATCCTTGGGAACAGGCAAACTCGCCAACGTCGCTGCCGTGCTTGGCGCGGACTTCGTCCGTTGGCACGTCTCACACGTGCGTACATTGCTGCCGTCCCACTTATACATCTTGGGTCACCAGTCC